AAAAGAAATTATCCAGAAACATTCAAGCCAATGTCTTTAAGAAACTCCCGGGAAAAATAACTTCATATATGCTATGTGACTTGCAATTCCCACATTAAGGATAATAATGACCAGCAAGGATGGCTCAAAAACTTGTCTTTGACTCTAACAAAAGTCATGGGGCTCTCTAAAACAGACCCAGGTACATTGATTGCCTAGGTTTTATAATCTAGGCCCTTGACTTCAAGACTTGTTTCAAGGACTAATAATCATTGTGTTTTGTGTGATTGCTTGTTCTACAGTTGGCCAGTGCATCCTATCCAGAGCCCTAAACGCTACTGCACAGCCAGTGTCACATCAGAGGATTCAGCTATGCATCGTACAACAAAAGGAGCAGGAGAGACTGACCCATGACCAGTTACAGACTACATTTTCTAAACAAACTCCTGATCGGCAAAATCAGAGCAATGGTGAAAATCTAGACAAAATGGATTAATGCCTTGTAACTTAATGTCTTTGGCCAAATGGGGGCACTACAAAAGAAAAAAAAAATCTCCTGACATCCAGGCTAAGACATGTCGTTCTCCCATTGGACATTTAAAAATCTCACACCTTTGGACAAAGTCACTCTGAGGCCATGATAAAATGAGACAAAGCAAAGGCTGCTTCATATATTTTTGAAGCACAGACAAAAGTAAGATCACTGTGCAAACCATCATATATTTCTCTCCTAGCTAATATGAATGACTGCTAGATTATCTTGTTCGTTGTGTTTTTTTCCCTTTGTTTGTTTGTTTCTACCAATTACAGGTTTAAGCTCACTCTAATCTGTTCTCTCTATACAAGAGGTGTATTAAAATAATCATGGGGATACTCTCTCTTCCTGACAGCATCCAAACCCAATCAAAACTCTGCTTTCTTAAACCGTCACCCAAATGACCTCACACAAGCCCAAATCCTTTAATATGCCTTTTATTTCACCCTCTTACATATATGGCTCACATTTCCCCATCGTATGCTTTCTCTCTTACTGCAATGAGTAACAAACCCAACTTGTTCAACTACAAAGGTATTCTCCTGGTAGTCTTTAGCAGGAAGGCATTGATATATTGTGTTATGTTAATGTTGATGACAAGCAAAATGAAGAATAAAATATGATCACTACAATAACCCCACATGCTAATATTTGTAATTTTCAGTTTACAAAGACATTTACTTTGTATCCTCTCAATAGGCAATTCCAAAGTCTCGAGACTGAGAAGAGGGCTGGCGTGATGCTGGAGATACTAACAGAAAGAACAGTAAAAAAAAAAAAAAAAAATCAAACAGAAAATATATTGAAAATGGATTTCCATGCTAGTGGAACGGAGGAAGGAACACAAAGTTGAGTTTTGGACAATGAGTTTGAGATGATCTGACCACCAGCTGATGCCGTCTGGACCACGGAAGGCAAGACCCAAATTCCTCAAGTTCCACAGCACAGCGTTTCAGGATGAATGGCCTTTGGATGGCTACCAACTTTCCCCAGGCCCTGTCCCCAGCCATCATAGCATCTCAGCAAGCACAATGAAGACAAATGAGACCTTATAAATCTAAACGTGACCACTTTGTACTTCCATTTTTCTAACTCCTCTCCACCCCCACAAACATCACCAACCCACTTAGTGGTTATCCAGATGACCTATATATTCAGAAGTAGAAGGAAAGGACAAATTCACTTGGGGCAACTGATTATAGAACAGGACTATGTAACAGAACTCACAATGCTGATAGAAATGTTCTATTTCTGCACTGTACACAGTGCAGCAGCCACTATTCATGTGCAGCTAATGAGCGCTTCGAATGTGGCTAGTGAGACTGAGTTTTCAATTTTATTTAATTTTAACCAAATTTGATAGTCACATACGACTAGTGGCCACTATATTGGAGAATGTAGCTCTAGAGGAAGTCTCCTCTCCTGCTGGTGGACCATAGTCGACCACTTGCCTTCACCCAAAACATGCTCTTCATGACTGTTTGGCGATATATTTTTTTAAAATTTTATTTATTTATTTGACAGAACGACAGAGCAGGAGAGCACTAACAGTGGGAGCGGCAGAGGGAGAGGGAGAAGCAGACTCCCTGACGAGCAGGGAGCCCGATGTGGGGCTCGATCCCAGGACCCTGGGATCATGACCTGAGCCGAAGGCAGTTGCTTAACCGACTGAGCCACCCAGGCGCCCTGCTTGGAAATTTTTAATTCACTTAGAGCCACAGTGCTTCATAAAATCCCACATACTTCAAACACACTAATCAAAACCATCAGTTGCTAATAGCTTACTTTTATTATTATTTTTTTTTAATTGACAGGTATCACAAGTGTAATGCATTGGGTTCATGTGATGAATACTTCTCAGAGAATCGAGAATCTTTTAGGTATTCAAATCTTAGCATGACTTGGCGCAGGCTGTTTTTTTCCACTGCATCATATAAGCCCGCTTGCTTCTAGGCCCCAGATCAAATTTGATAGCTGAATTTTGCTACAATATGGAGTGAAATCATCCTTTGGTGTCTAACTTGGGGAACTAATCACAACAATTGATGTGGAAAACGTGTTCAAGGTCTAAACTAAACTTTCACCTGCACTGTCGGAAGAAATCATTCTCAAAGACTGGTCATAATATCAGTTAGCTATTTATTGTCTAAATATGGGGTAAATTTCAGTTCTCTTGTCTACTAGAAAAAAATACTTTGTCTTCAGAACATCATGAACAGACAAATATTCCTCCACCCCTTATATATTTTTATACTCTATAAGACATTAAACCCTTGAGGAAGTATAACTTTCAGCAAAAGTCTTGGTTATCCTCTCTTTACCACTGTCAATGTTTTCTATCAATTTATTCAAATGAGGGAGGAAGCTACACCTAGATTAAAATGCTAAGCAAAATAAGTCAGAGAAAGACAAATACCATATGATTTCACTCATATGTGGAATTTAAGAAACAAAACAATTGAACAAAGGAGAGAGAGGGAGAGAGAAACCAAGAAACAGACGCTTAACTATAGAGAACAAACTGATGGTTACCAGAGAGGAGGTGTGTGTGGGGGGGGTGGGGTGGGGGGGAAGGATGGATAAATAGGTGATGGGGATTAAAGAGTACACTTATGATGAGCACTGAGTAATGTATAGAATTGCTGAATCACTATATTGTATGCCTGAGACTAATATAACACTATATGTTAACTATACTGAAATTAAAAACCATAAAAAATCTTGTTTCCTGGACCATAAACTCTATTTTGTTCCTTTGTAGATTGCAGCAACTGTGAGAGTTTCAAGTTGTGGGGCAGGCTGTTGGTTATAGGCCTGGGGTCAAAGGAGAAGTCCATGCATGGGCTATGAATTTGAGAGTCTATAACATTTAGATGGTGACTGAAGTCAAGCAAGGAAACCTTGGAACACGGGGAAGATGATATACCCCTTTCAAGAGATTTATTGTAAATAAAAGGAAGGGCATTGAGACCCGTATAGCTGAGTGGACAAGGAAAAGGTGGAACCTTATGTGGGCTCATAAAACATAAATGTCTTAGGAGTCATGTTACTAGCCAAAAAGGTGATGTCATTGAAACCTTGGGTTTTGTTTCAATCCACTTATTTCAATGTGGTTTTTTTTTTTTTTTTGGCTCACCCCAATTCCAAATGTTAAATTTAATCCCATGGTTTGGGTCATGCGCTTCTAGAATAGGTGCATTTTGCTATTTTAACTCTCATCGGGCAGCTTTATTTCCTAATTCTGTGGTTGAGACTTGGTGAGCACCTTCCTGTGGACCCTATGGATATACGCACCTCCCCCCTCCTTTTTATTTTCCTCTTAAAAAGTTAGGTTTTTGTAGCACATTGATAGATCTTTCTTCAAAATTCCAATGTCATCTTCGTGCTGCTTATACATAGACCCTTTTTTTTTATTAAAAGATTTTATTTATTTGAGAGAGAGAGAGCATGAGCAGAGAGAGGGAGAAGCAAACTCCGTGCTGAGCAGAAAGCCCAATGTGGGGCTCGATCCCAGACCCTGAGATCATCACCTGAGCCGAAGGCTGACGCTTAACCGACTGAGCCACCCAGGTGCCCCTACATAGACCATTTATACAGTACCGTGTTTTACACTTTCTGAGGTCTGTGTCCATCCCACCTGCATCTTTCTCCTTTCTCCTTTATAGGCCATTGTTTATGTAGGTCTCTTATATCTTTGAACAGGAGCCCTAAGACTACTAGTCTCTATTTTTTTTTCACAGACTGCTAAATCTATCTCAGGGACACCACTGAAAGGGGACATAACAGAAAAAAGTTTGTGTACTGAATTGTAGTTGCGTTTCAGTGCCGCCTCCTTAAGATAGGCCGAGACAAAGACAGACTAAGAAAGATCTAACCAAGCCAGAGGTAGAAATGGGAGTACCGTTGAGGAATGAGTATATCTGCCATGAAGGTGTGAGAAAACTTGGTCTTTCAACCAGATCTCAAATGTTGAAAATGAGTTGGTGTTTGCAAGAAATAGGAAAAGTGTCATAGGGAGATGATTCAAGATATTGAAAGAGGTAGAAAAAAAAATAATGCTAAAATGTAACCTGGGAACTTAAGCTATTCCCCAAAGCTAAATGTTTGTGTGCCTGTGGAAAATAGAGGCATGAGCACCAAAGCAGATGATTTACACACATACAGATTTGAAAATGGCTGTGTATCTTAATGCTATTTAAAAACAAAAGTTAAAGAGCAAATCAAATTCTGTGGGAGAATTAGCCAGTTTATCAGAGAAAATGGTTTCACAGTCTGATGTGATAAGCTAGTTTTAGGAGTTAAATAAGTGGACAAAGTTGAGACCAATATGTAATTCTCCAAAAGGGAATGGTTACTGAATATTTTAGTTGGAGTAGCATGGATTATATTCTCGAAAGTAATGGTAACAAATTTGCATAAAAAGGCCCCTGCTCTGACATAAATCTCTGATGGTACGGTTAATGGGAGCACTAAGCAGTCGAATGCTATGGCCCAGGGCTGGGCATCCTCAAGAAGAGCTAGGTGCTGCTGGGGAGGAGGTAGTGGGGGTAGCAATGGCAGACCCACCACCAGTCAGGGCGGCCTCAAGCGGAAGATAGGCCCAGGACGTCCCCACGCAAAAGTGCCCCACCGGAAGTGTGCCAGAGACAGTTCAGGATCAGTTTATGAGGCACTCTTCCTGAAAGGGGAAAACAGTGATGTGCAGATCCGTGCACTGGGGGAGGAGTGGAATTTACACAGGGTCTACTTACGCCAGTCAGGGTACTTTGCTAGCATGTTCAGTGGTGCTTGGCGGGAAAAAACCATGAATACTATAGAGTTGCAGATGCCTGATGACAACATTGATCGTGAGGCGATGCATGAAGCTTTAGGTTCTCTGTACCAAGACACCGTGCTCATCACACCTGGTCGAGTAGTAGCCATTCTGGCCACGGCCAGTGTGCTGCAGATGGATGGGCTAATTCAGCAATGTGGGGAGGTCATGAAGGAGACTGTCAGTGCCCAGACTGTGTGCAGCTATTACTACTCTGCTGAGAGCTATGGCCTCCAATGCATCAGGACCATGTGCCT